GGATTTCTGGTTCGCGGATTGTAATACAGAGTCATTCTTTTCCTCGATTCGGGATTAAAATTGGTGACTTGGGACACCCTAAACCTCCCAAGTGGCGACTCTGAAACAAACAAACAAATCCCGTTTCGACTGTCCTTTAATTGGAGAAAACTCCTTACGCCCCTCGCGGGCGCGGAAAAAGGAGGTATGACAATTATTTCAAAGGCAATCAAGGGTAAATTGGACGAAGATAGATTGGCTAGCCATAGTTGAATTGGCATATTGGTGGTAGTGATCAGTTCTATAACACCCCGTAAAATTTGGCTTAGGTATGAATGAGTTAAAGGAGTAGTAAGGATATATTTTGAACATTTGAAGTCCCATCGGGATGATTATGGGTGAAAATAGTTGGTTCAAAATCAAGATGGAAAGTGAGGTGCATAAGATTTGACAAAATCGACTAAGTTTGTAGGAGGTCTGTCTTTCAGTAGGGTTTAGTGAAAATTTGTAAGGAATATGAAAAACTCAAAGCATAAAAGTTGTAGGCCTTTGAAATAGCTTTCTAACGATATATTGTGGAGCCCAAACAGAGCTCTATGAAAAACGTTATGCCCGTTTTACAGAATGGTGTGTAACCACCGTGGTTCTGCCGCGTTTTTACCGCGACCGCGGTGGTGAGGCAGTGTCCCAATGATTTACCGCGGTCAGGAATGCGGTCGCGCCAACCAGGACGCGTTGGACGACTTGGAAAGTCATTTTTTAGCCTTATTTCGTCCCCCACGGCCCCAAAACATAAAACTTGCTCTAGAAAGGAAGACTCTCAAAAACCTAACTCCTTAAGGGTCCCTCCACCACCCAAGGTAAGTTTTAATGGTGATTCTAAGTTAATTACAATTTTCCAACATCTTATTAACATGGGTAAAAACTCCATATCATTAGATATTCTATTGGGATACCATTATTGAGAGAAGGAAGCCTAGAACTCGAATTCAAAGGGTTTGAACTTCAAAAAGATAATGTTTTCACCCTCTAATTGATTCTAGCATTGGTTTAATGATTATAAACCCTAGTTCATGAGATATGAGTTGATGGGTTTGATAGAAAAGCATGAACGATTATAGGGTTAGGGTGTTGAGTGTTGATTATTGGTTAAGGGTGTTGTTTACCTTATGGGTGATGAAGAATAATGTTGATTATAATCATTTGAGACTTTAGAATTTATCTTGGAACAAGAGAATGGGTTGTTGGGTATAGAGACACCATTAATAAGGACTATGAAACTTTATTTTTACCAAGTGTTTGATAAATGCTTAAGTGACCAAAACATGAGCACCATAGCTAATATGAGATCCCTTTTTGACTTGTATTGCTATAGATTAAAGTTGAAAGGGTTGACAAACGTTGTATTACGCTCAAGGGCAGGAAGTTAAGGTATGTAAGGCTAACTCTTTACGTTTGGGAATGTCTATGATTCTCCCTACGTCCCATTCATTATGACCATTACCAGTTTCCTCAAAAAAGTAACTATGCCTTAGTTCCCTGAATAGTAGTAGAACTTCTATTCTCTAGATGGCATAGTCTCATAATCATTCGATATTCTATGAGTTTCAGTTATGACAAATCAACTTATTATGAAATACTCATCTCAGTCTAATCCTATTCATTATTCCAGTATTATGTAACTCAGTATGGCTTATTATTTCAGTATGATTCTCAGTTCCTAATTTTTGTATTCTTGAAAGTTGAACACCTGTATTTGGTCCTGAGGCCACAATTTATGCTTTATACATCTTTGGGTCTGAGGCCGCAGTTATGTATACGTATACTTGGGCCGAGGCTGCAGTTGCGCATATATATAAATATATATATTGGGCCGGAGGCCACAAGTTAATATTCAGTTAAACAGGTTGTTCATCATTCAGAAAAGGGGGTATTCATATACTTACTTCTTTGTTCAGTTATCAGTTTATCAGCTAGCAGTTCAGTTTCAATTTCAGTATTTACAGTTCTTTTCTTTAGCTGTTTTACATACCAGTACAATTCAAATGTACTGACGTCCCTTTTGACCGGGGCCTGCATCTCGTGATACAGGTAATGATTTTTAGGTTGACGATTCTGCTTGCTAGGACATCTCGTATCAGCTATTGGTGAGCCCTAGTCTTTCGGGGCCTTATCTCTCTTTTGTTTTAGTCATTATACTATTTCAGTTAATAAGGTATACCGAGGATCTTGTCCCGATTAAAAGTTAGAATTTTCAATGTTCTTTAGAGGCTTCGTAGATTATAACCCAGTCAGTCAGATATTAGCAGGCCTTTATGTGTTAGCCTTGTCAGCTACTTATTTATACTTACAGACCTTTTAGTATTTTTCGCATCTATGATATTTTAGTCAGACTCTTTAGTAGATTATCATGTTTTATATTTACCTCTAGCTCATAGTTATACCACATGTTGATCCAGCTATACAGTTGGTTTGCTCGGTCATATGCAGTCAGGCACCGAGTGCCCTGTTACGCCCAGACCATGGTTCGGGGCGTGACAAAACTTGGTATCAGAACCTAGGTTCAAGAGTCCTAGGGAGTCTATGAAGCCGTGTATAGTGAGGTCTCTTTTATGTGTGTGTGTGCGCCACCATGTAAACAGTTGACCACCAAGACATCTAGGATTGTTCCATTTTTTTAATACTCTAGATCGTGCAGTTAGAGCTATGCTTTCAGGAATCTTTCTAACCCGTACGAATTGCGTATTTCAGAAAAATGCATGCAAAAAGAAAGTACACCAGGAGGGCCTCAGCTACTAGCCAGGGGGCCACAACTAATGCTGCTCAGGAGGAGGACACTTCGGCCTAGGGAGTTGCACCGGGCTCAGTGCCTAGTGCTTCAAACATGGATGTCAGGGGAGCTATCTAGTTGCTCACCCAGATTGTTGCTACTTGGGCTCAAAGTCAGGGAACAATTGATGTTCATGGGACGGGTAGTTCCAGGTCTAGGGAATTCCTCAACGTGAAACCTCTCGTCTTCGCAGGGTCCAAAAAGGATGAGGATCCACAAAACTTCATTGATGAGGTTCAGAAGATATTTTGAGTGATGCATGCTACAAACACCGAGGCAACAGATCTTGCTGCATAACAGCTGAAGGATGTTTCCAACACTTGGTATGAAACATGGGAGGAGTCTCGAGGGGAGGATACAGATCCTGCAACTTGGAAGGAGTTTGCAGATGCGTTCCTTGAGCACTTTCTACCCATTGAGGTCTTAGAATCTAAGGCTTTGGAGTTTGAGAGACTCAAACAGAATGATATGAGTTTGAATGAGTACTACCTCAAGTTCGTCTCTCTGGCCAAGTATGCTCCGGAAATGGTACGTGATATGAGGGCCAGAGTTAGGCGGTTTGTGTTAGGGCTTTCAGATGATTTGTTTGTTGATGCTAATATAGCTGCTCAGAATAATGACATGACCATCACTAAGATGGTTGCCTTTGTTCAAAGGAATGAAGATAGGTTGAAGGAAGAAGAGCGGCTACGGAGAGAGAAGGAGAAGGAATTCAACAAGAGAGCTAAGTCTGTAGGAAATTTCAACCATAAGGGATCCCAAATAGGAGGCAATCACCAGTTTTTCAAGAAATCAAAATCAGGACCTGCTCCATCTTCAGCTAGTGCACTGGTTCAAGGGTCAAAGTTTAACAAGAAAAACCAGAATTTTTGAACAGCAGACTCACAGTCACATGCTAGTGTGGGCTACAGAGTCCCTAGTTACCCTACTTGCAACACGTGTGGTAAGAGTCACCCAGGGTTGTGTCGTTTGGGCACAAATGGTTGCTTTGGTGCGGTCAGCAGGGCCATTTCTTGAGGGATTGTCCATCGGCAAAGCAGAACAATGGAGGCAATGCAGCTCAGTCCACTAATTCAGCATCCCATCATAACTCTCAGGCCCAACAAGGGCGCCTTGCAGCAAAGTCTAATAATACAGGTGGTGGTCGAAACCACTTGTATGCACTGGCAGACCATCAGGATACAAAGGCTCGTGGAGATGTTGTCACAGGTATGCTAACAATATTCACTTTTGATGTCTATGCTCTTATAGATCTGGGGTCCACCCTATCTTATGTAACCCCATATATTGCAAAGAAATTTGGGATAGAACCAGAAAAGTTGTGTGAACCTTTGAAGTATCCACTCCAGTTGGAAAATCAGTTATAGCAATGTGTATCTATAGGGGATGTCCAGTTAAAGTGCATCATCGTCTACTGTAGCAGACTTAGTAGAATTGGAGATGGTAGATTTTGATGTGATCATGGGAATGGATTGGTTAAAGTCCTGTTATGCCACAGTGGGTTGTAGAACCAAAATAGTAAGTTTTGAATTTCCTGGTGAACCAGTCTTAGAATGGAAGGGTGATGTAGTAACACCTAGGAGTAGGTTTATTTCCTATCTTAAAGCCATAAAGATGATCTCCAAGGGATATATCTATCACCTAGTTCGAGTTAAGGATGCAGATGCTCAGATCCCCACTCTCCAATCTGTACCAATTGTAAATGAGTTTCCAGAAGTGTTTCCAGAAGATCTCCCTGGAATCCCTCCCGATAGAGAGATTGACTTTGGAATTGATCTACTTCCAGGCACTAAGCCGATATTTATTCCGCCTTACAGAATGGCTCCAGCAGAGTTGAAGGAGTTAAAAGTCCAATTGAAAGATCTTCTAGATAAGGGATTTATAAGGCCAAGTGTCTCACCTTGGGGCACACCGGTCTTATTTGTCCGAAAGAAGGATGGGTCTTTGTGTATGTACATTGACTATCGTTAGTTGAACAAAGTCACCATCAAGAACAAGTACCCTCTTCCCAGAATAGATGATTTATTTGATCAACTTCAGGGTGCCCAGTGTTATTCCAAGATTGACCTCAGATCGGGATACCATCAGTTGAAGGTTAAGGAAGTTGATATTCCAAATACAGCTTTTAGGACTCGATATGGGCATTTCAAATTTTTGGTAATGTCATTCGGTTTAACGAATGCACCAGCAACTTTCATAGACCTTATGAATAGGGTCTTCAAGCCTTATCTTGATTTGTTTGTTATCGTGTTTATTGATGATATCCTGATTCATTCCCATAGCGAGACTAACCATGTCGAACATCTCAGAATTGTGTTGCGGACACTGCAGGATCACAAGCTATATGCAAAATTTTCTAAGTGTGAATTCTGGTTGAAATTAGTAGCGTTTTTGGGCCATGTCATCTCAGGGGAAGGCGTGAATGTGGACTCTCAGAAAATAGAGGCAATGAAGAATTTGCCTAGACCCACCTCAGTATCCGATATAAGAAGTTTCTTGGGTCTAGCAGGCTATTATAGGCGTTTCGTAGAGAGATTTTCTTCTATCTTGTCCCCTTTGACTAGATTAACTCAGAAGCAAGTCAAGTTTCAATGGTCGGACGCGTGCGAGAAAAGTTTTGAGGAGTTAAAGAAGAGATTGACTTCAGCTCCAGTCCTGATACTACCGGAAGGAACCGAAGGGTTCGTTGTTTATTGTGATGCTTCCGGGATTGGTCTTGGGTGTGTATTAATGCAACACGATAAAGTCATAGCCTACGCGTAGAGACAACTCAAGGCTCGCGAGAAGAATTATCTGACTCATGACCTTGAATTAGCAACTGTGGTTTCACGCTTAAGATCTGGCGCCATTATTTGTATGGGGTACATGTTGACATTTTTACAGATCACAAAAGTCTCTAGTACATCTTCAAGCAAAGAGAATTAAATCTACGTCAGAGAAGGTGGCTCGAATTACTTAAAGATTATGATGTTGATATCCTCTATAATTTGGAGAAAGAAAATATTGTAGCCGATGCTCTCAGTCGGCGTTCTATGGGCAGCTTAGCTCACATTGAGGCAGACAAGAGAACTATGATGAAGGAAGTCCATCGCTTAGCAAATCTAGGAGTTTGAATTTTGGACTCCGAAGATGGTGGCGTTGTTCTCCAGAACAGGGCTGAATCCTCCTTAGTAGCCAAAGTAAAAGAAAAACAGTTCAGTGATCCCTACTTATTGCAGCTGAAGGAGGGAATTCACAAACACAAGGATATGGCTTTTGAACAAGGGAGAGATGATGGTACTTTGAGGTACATAGGCAAACTATGCGTTTCAGACGTAGATGGGCTCAGAGAGCGGATGATGTCAAAAGCCCACAATTATAGGTATTCTATTCACCCATGTTCCACAAAGATGTATCATGATCTTAAGGAGGTTTATTGGTAGAACGATATGAAAAAGAATATAGCAGATTTCGTGGCTAAGTATCCAAATTGTCAGTAGGTGAAAGTCGAACACCAGAGACCTGGCGGTTTAACTCAGAATATAGAAATTCCCGTTTAGAAATGGGAGATGATAAACATGGACTTCATAACAGGTCTACCTTGCTCGTTCCGAAAGCATGATTCGATTTGGGTGATTGTAGACCGACTTACCAAGTCATTTCACTTCTTGCCAGTGAAGACTACAGATTCGGCCGAGGATTATGCCAAGTTGTATATCAAAGAAATTGACCGATTTCATGGGACTCCTTTGTCCATTATCTCAAATCATGGTGCTCAGTTCACATCAAACTTTTGGAAATCCTTTCAGATGGGATTGGGCATAAGGATGAACCTCAGCACCGCTTTTCATCCTCAGACAGATGGCCAGGCGGAACGCACCATTCAGACTCTTGAGGATATGTTGAGGGTTTGTGTTATTGATTTTAACGGTAATTGGGATGATCATCTACCTCTCATTGAGTTTGCTTATAATAATAACTACCACTCTAGTATCAAGATGGCACCGTACGAAGCTATATATGGGCGAAGGTGTAGATCACCAATTGGTTGGTTCGAAGTTGGAGAAACGGAGTTGTTAGGACCCGATTTGGTCTATCGGGCTATGGAGAAAGTCAACTTGATACAAAGGCATTTGAAGACATCTCAAAGTTGCCAAAAGTCCTATTCGGACATGTGGCGTAGAGACTTAGAGTTCCAAGTTGATGATTGGGTGTTTCTAAAAATATCACTCATGAAAGGCATTACGAGATTTGGGAAGAAGGAAAAGCTTAGTCCCCGCTATATTGGTCCATATAGAATCCTGCGAAGGATCAGACAAGTGGCTTATGAGTTAGAATTGCCACAAGAACTAGATGCTCTACACCCAGTGTTTCCTGTGTCCATGTTGAAAAATTCATGGGAGACCAGTCACTTGTGGTTCCTACAGAGATTATAGGGGTTAAAGACAGCCTGTCTTACGAAGAAATTCCAGTGGCTATTCTTGATCGTCAAATCCGCAAGCTCAGAACTAAGGAAATTGCTTCAGTAAAAGTGCTTTGGAGGAATCAAAAGGTTGAAGAGTCTACATGGGAAGCCGAGGAGGACATGAAGTCCAGATATCCCCATCTCTTTGAAGAGCAAAAGGATAATGTGGAAGGTAATTAACCTTTCCATTCAGGTCTTATATTATAATCTCCATGTCCTTTAGTATTTACCTAGTTTAGTATTTAGTAATCACGTGCTCGTTCAGTTTGATATACATGTATTCATGAAATTTCAGTATTCTCATATCTCTATCACACCCATTTAATGTCTATAGATAGCCGTAGTTGCAGCCATGACCATCATTCGAGGACGAATAATTCCAAGGGAGAGATAATGTAACACCCCGTAAAATTTGGCTTAGGTATGAATGAGTTAAAGGTTAAGGATATATTTTGAACATGTGAAGTCCCATCGGGATGATTATGGATGAAAATAGTTGTTTCAAAATCAAGATGGAAAGTGAGGTGCATAAGATTTGACAAAATCGACTAAGTTTGCAGAAGGTCTGTCTTCTAACAGAGTTTAGTGAAAATTTGTAAGGAATATGGAAAACCCCAAAGCATGAAAGTTGTAGGCCTTTGAAATAGATTTCGAACGATATATTGTGGAGCCAAAACGGAGCTCTGTGAAAAACATTATGCCCGTTTATAGAATAGTGTGTAACTACCACAGTTCTACCGCATTTTTATCGCGACCGCGGTGGTGAGGCAGTGTCCCAATGATTTACAGTGGTCGAGACCGCGGTCGCGCCAACCGGGATGCGGTGGACGACTTAGGAAGTCATTTTTAGTCTTATTTCGTCCCCCACAGTCCCAAAATATAAAAACTTGCTCTAGAAAGGAAGACTCTAAAAAACCTAACTCCTTAAGGGTCCCTCCACCACCCAAGGTAAGTTTTAATGGTGATTCTAAGTTAATTGAAATTTCCCAACATCTTATTAACATGAGTAAACCCTCCATATCATTAGATATTCGATTGGGATACCATTGTTGAAAGGAAGCCTAGAACTCGAATTCAAAGGGTTTGAACTTCAAAAAGGTAATGTCTTCACCCTCTAATTGATTATAGCATTGGTTTAATGATTATAAACCCTAGTTCATGAGATATAAGTTGATGTGTTTGATAGAAAAGCATGAACTATTATAGGATTGGGGTGTTGAGTGTTGATTATTGGTTAAGAGTGTTGTTTACCTTATGGGTGATGAAGAATAATGTTGATTATAATCATTTGAGACTTTAGAATTTATCTAGGACAAGAGAATGGGTTGTTGGGTATAGAGACACCATTAATAAGGACTATGAAACTTTATTTTTACCAAGTGTTTGATAAAATGCTTAAGTGACCAAAACATGAGCATCATAGCTAATATGAGATCCCTTTTTGACTTGTATTGCTATAGATTAAAGTTGAAAGGGTTGACAAACGTTGTATTATGCTAAAGGGCAGAAAGTTAAGGTATGTAACGCTAACTCTTTACGTTTGGGAATGTCTATGATTCTCCCTATGTCCCATTCATTATGACCATTAAAAGTGACTATGCCTTAGTTCCCTGAATAGTAGTAGAACTTCTATTCTCTAGATGACATAGTCTCATATTCAATCGATATTCTATGAGTTTCAGTTATGACAAATCAACTTATTATGAAATACTCATCTAAGTCTAATCCTATTCATTATTCCAGTATTATGTAACTCAGTATGGATCATTATTTCAGTATCATGTATTCCAGTATGATTCTCAGTTCCTAATTTTTATATTCTTAAAAGTTGAACACCTGTATTTGGGCCTGAGGCCGTAGTTTATGCTTTATGCATCTTTGGGCCTAAGGCCGCAGTTACGTATACTTGGGCCCGAGGCCGCAGTTGTGCACATATATAAATATATATATTGGGCCTAGGGCCGCAGTTTAATATTCAGTTAAATAGGTTGTTCATAATTCAAAAGAGGGAGTATTCATATCTTTACTTTCTTATTCAATTATCAGTTTATCAGCTAACAGTTCAGTTTCAGTTTCAGTATTTACAGTTCTTTTCTTCAGCTGTTTTACATACCAGTGCAATTCAAATGTACTGATGTCCCTTTTGCCCGGGGCCTGCATCTCGCAATGCAGGTAACAATTTTTAGGTTGACGATTCTGCTTGCTAGGACATCTCGTATCAGCTATTAGTGAGCCTTAGTATTTCGGGGCCTTATCTCTCTTTTGTTTTAGTCATTATAGTATTTTAGTTAATAAGGTATATCAGGGACCTTGCCCTGGTAAACAGTTAGCAATTTAAGTGTTCTTTAGAGGCTTCGTAGACTATAACCCAGTCAGTCAGATATTAGCAGGCCTTCATGTGTTAGCCTTGGTGGCTACTTGTTTATACTTATAGACCTTTCAGTATTTTTTGCATCTATGATATTTCAATCAGACTCTTTAGTAGATTATCATGTTTTATATTTACCTCTAGCTCATAGTTATACCACATGTTGATCTAGCCATGCAGTTGGTTCGCTCGGTCATATGCAGTCAGGCATCGAGTGCCGTGTTACGCCTAGACCATGGTTCGGGGCGTAACAAGTTCCTTCAGCATGATCAAGTTATGCAAGTGATTTTTGACGGTACGTGTGAGGCTTGTTGGCCACCTTAATTGATATTATTCAAAAGTACTCTATTGTTATGGCCTGTTATGTGTAGGCGGATCCCAGAAAGGCTATGGTGGCTTAGAAAACTACTTAGAGATTTGCATAGTTTACGGTTATGAGAATTTACCTGTGTGTTGCTATGGTTATTCTGAAGTGAGTTAAGTGAAAGGTTTTTATATGATGAAGTGTTAATCTATAAGTGGTTCCGGAGTTATGACGAAATTGTGTTCTATCGTAAATTGGCATGATAGGTGCAGCGAGTGGTATGGAATTTGAATTGAGGATCAAGGTTGCATTTCGGCACTGACAAGGATGTCACGAGCTCGGATGAGCATGAAAGGAGTTTCGATGTTTAAATTAAGTGGGTATTTCCTTCAGCGTCACCTGAGATCGGTGTTTGTGGAAAAAGGCTTTGCATCTTGGTCAAGGATTCTTGATCGTTTTTCGGTGTTAGTGCAGCTGGTGGTTTGGATGTACAGAACTGTTATCTATCACGGAAGGTTGTGGAAGCGTGCCCCATGGGAAGGTTGTAAAATAAAGTATGTAGTCACTTGATTGATTGAAGAATTAAACCAAGTATAAAGATTGTGGTGATGACGTTAAATTGAGAATTGGTGCCTGGAGGGCACTCGGTCTATTGGGTTGTGGACTATGGAGGATTACTCCGGTTATGATGGTTGTTCTTGTGTGTTATGAGAAAAGGGGAGTTATTATGGACCTTTGAAAGGTTATTAGCTAAGTTTAGTGCGATCAAAATTAGCTTGAGGTCTATAGATGAATTTAAATATGAATATAGGCTCTATATCAGGCCAGATGTGTTCATTTCAGCAATGCGCTCCTTATGGAAGAGTTGTCGGGGTGTTGTTTCGTCGCCAACTATTTCATGTAATGATATATTGCGCCGTGTGAGTTGTGAAATGGCTTGGTGAATTTCTTATGTGTTGAGGTTCCGCGTAGAGATGATGTTATATGAGCAGAATGGCTTTTGAGACTCAGATCGTATATGGCACCTCAGTGGTGCTTGAGTTTGTAGCTTATGGCGCTATATGTCTCCCCAGGGATGGTATTATGCACTTAGCGTGCTTGTGACCGACATTCGGCATTTTGTTGTAATGAACAATCTGGCTCGGTGTGTATCTCCTTATGTGAATTTTATGTGTGGATCGGGTGGCACGCCGCCATAGGTATGTTGTTTGGATCGGGTTGCACATCGTAACAGTGTGATGTTGAGTACAGTTCCCCATATCTGTTTTTATGTGTTTTGTTTCCTATTTTTTCTGAGGAAAACTCATATTAGTTGTGTGCCCGCGTCGCATGTATGATTCGCGAGTGAGGCAATTGGATTTCCTTTTCAGAGTTTGTTTTCCTTTGTATCACGTTCGAATTGGTAGCCTATTGGCACATTGTGGAATCATATGAAACTTTTGATCATGTCCGGGATGACTTATTTCCTAAATAGTTCGTATTGGGTGAGATGAGATCATTGGATTTAGGATCAGTGCAATCTAATTGTATGAAGTATATTAAGGAGCTAAGACTATTATTTGGTTCAAAATGAGGTGATGGTTCTTGTCAGGAGTATAAACCCGATGATTTATTGATTCAGCAGTTGGTTATGAATTTCTACACATCTCTTCCATCGTGGCGGTATTGTAAGAGTTAGAGAAAGACCTATGTATGTCATGAGGTGCAATGGGAGCATCAGAGTCATGGAATTTCGACTAAATTGATCAGAGAGTGTTATTGTGGTCTTGTGAGTAAAATGGTGCAAGGTGTGAATTCAGCTAAGGTATGCAATCATGTTTTGGTGCTGCGTGTAGTTATTGATTTGGTGAAAGTATGTTGGAACAGGCATGGCAGAGAATTCCGGATGTTGGAATTGGGCTCTAAGGCTTATTTGCCTAAGTGAAAAAGGGTATCTTTAGATTGATCGAGCTAGGGTGCCCCGCTAAGTTGTGGTAGCATGGGTAGGTGCTCGAGGTGTTAAACAGTGATTTCGGACAACCCTAGTGTAGTTCTTAGCACGTTCGAGGACAGACGTATGTTTAAGTGGGAGAGAATGTAACAACCCAACCGGTCGTTTTGAGCTATAGCGCATCGTTCAGCAGTTTGAGGCCATGAGCAGCTTCACTTCAGGTATTATGACTTGTGCACACGGTCGGAATTGAATTCCGGGAAGTTCGGAGTTGATTTGGAAATAGAATTCTCATTTCAGAAGCTTTAATTTAAAACAATTGACTAAGGTTATATTTTGAGTAAACGACCTTGGAAGCGGGATTTGAAGGTTCCAGCAGGTTTGTATGATGATTTCGGACCTGGGCGTATGTCCGAAATGGGTTTTGGAAGACCCGAGAATGTTTCGACGCCTATTGTGGAAATTAGCATTTTTGAAAGAATCTCATAAGTTTGGATTGAAGTGCATTTTAGGGTTATCAATGCCCGTTTGAGATTTTGAGTCTGGGAATAGCTTTGTATGGTGATTCTGGTATTGGGAGCACGATCGAAAGTGAATTCGGAGGTCCGTAGGTCATTTTGGAGCCATTTGGCTAACGATAGAAATTTGAAGGTTTTTGAGAATTTTGACCGAAAGTAGACTTTTTGATATCGAGGTCGGAATCCAATTCTGGAAGTAGAAGTAGGTCCGTTATGTCAAATATGACTTGTGTGCAAAATTTGAGGTTAATCGGACGTGATTTGATAGGTTTCGTCATTGAATGTAGAAGTTTGAAATTCTAAAGTTCCTTAAGCTTGGATTGGGGGTCGATTCATGATTTTAGCATTGTTTGATATGATTTAAGGTCTCGAGCAAGTCTGTAATGTGTTTTGGGACTGGTTGGTATGATTGGTTGGAGTTCCAAGGGCCTCGGGTGGATTCCAGATGGTTAACGAATCAATTTTGGAAATTGGAAGAGGAAGTGCAACAACTATCTTCTGGTGTGACCGCACCTGCGAGGCTTGGGCCGCAGGTGCGGAGCCGCAGAAGCAGCTAGGAGAGCCGCATATGCGATTTTTGGCTGGAAGTCTAAGGACCGCAGATGCGGTAATCTCACCGAAGAAGTGGGACCGCACCTGCGGGAGTCGAGGCGCAGAAGTGGAAAGGGGATCCTGGGGAGAAACTGCATGAGCGGTAGAGGGGCCGCACCTGCGGAACCGCAGAAGCGGTCGTGTGACCGCAGGTGCGGAATTGCTGGAAGCAGTAAGGTTCTTTAAAACTCAGGGGTCTTGGCCATTTTACTCTTATTTGGGCGATTTTTGGAGAGCTTCAAGAGAGGGATTTCTTCATCAAACATGAGGTAAGTTAATTTCACCCCTTGTGAGTTAAATACATGGTTTTGTTAGGGAGTTGAGCGTGAAAATTGGTAGAAACTTGGGGTTGAGGGAAAACCTAGAAAATTAATATTCTTAGATTTTGATCACGATTTTGGGTATGAAATTAGGAGAAAATCATATATTTGAGTTCGTGAGTTCATGGGTAAACTTTATCTTCGAGAAATTTTGAAATCCGGGCATGTGGGCCCGAGGGTAATTTTGTCAATTTTTTGATCGGGGTTAGGAATTGTTAAAAATTAGATTGTAATGAGTAATTGAATATATATTAATGGATTCACATAATTATTGGCTAGTTTTGGAGCATTTAGCATCGAATCGTGTCTTTGGAAGGGCGTGGAATACCGGTTATGGATCTTCGGAGCGAGGTGAGTTTCCTTTCTAACCTTGTAAGAGGGAATTGTCCCCATTGTCACACCCTTTTTTTTTATCAAACCTCAGTAAACCCTCTTAAAAATGGATAAAAGATTTAGTAAAGCTCGAAAGGATTTTCAATTAGAAAGTAACAAAATTTGTTCAAAAGGATATAACTCAGAGTTGCCACCTGACATTTGATTTCGGTGTGTCAGGTCACCGTTTTAAAAAAATAATTTTTCCTTTAAAATACTTTGGACTCCAAACTAAGTCTGCACCAGAGATTCGGGTAAGGGGGTTCATTTGACTCGGGGAGAAGGTGTTAGGTACTCCCCAAGTCCCGTAACTAGTACGATTGTATACTTGATCAGGTTGGCATTTAAAATATTCAAATTGAGGTATAAACACAGAAAAGAAAATAAATACAATAGAGGCTTGAGGTCGTCCCCACCTAACCAAAAGAAAATAAAATAAGAAAATAAATGTAAAATCCTAAATACAAATATATACTATACTTTTTCCACGAAGTTCGTCATGGCCTCCAAATACATGATACTATGGAGCATACCCCGGATAAAATATATACAAATTCTTCGGAGCATTCCCTGGATAAATTTAACTAAGGGAACGATCTCTCGCCTCGAAATTAACAAAATCCTAAGGCTTTCCTACCTGTGTGTGGTCGGCCTAAACATTCTCTTAGCGATTAAGAAAAATAGAAATAAACTTAATCTAAAGTATATAAAACTTAGTTCATGATCATTTTTTCTTTTGGTTTCCTCATTTCATGTGTTTGACTAAACCCAATTCCTAAAGAATACGAACAAATTAACTACTAATGTGCTTTGTCCTTCCCCCACTCTCCCTTTCCAATTCTAATGTCCAAAATAGATATTCAACAAAGCATCCATCACGTGAAACTAATAACCACGCAAACAAAGAGATGATGAATGAATTTGTTTTTTTTTTTAAAAAATGGTAAACAAAAAGGGAAAATGAATACTACGCTAGATCACTCAATTTGAAAGAACATATGTCTGCTTACAATTTCATGCAAGCTCACTTGATCCATGTTAGCACAGATTTGCAAAGAATAACGTGAAATTTAACTACTTTCTTATAATAAAAGATTTAAAACAAAGAATCAACTCAAACAAATTTGAAATTAACACTGCAACATCACTTAATAGCAACCAAAATGTGACAACTAACCAACATAGAACATTCACATAAGAAATGGTACAAGACGAAGAGTTTAGAATCAGACCTTGATAATATTAATAAGAACTCGATTACAGCAAAATACGAACCGGAAAGTAAAGCCGTAGCAGGAGCGTCGACCGCGAACCACGAAATTAACCTCAAACGGTTCTCCGAATCGGCAGCTAAAATAAAATTTTGATCCTCGATGGATCTCCGAACCAAAAATGGACTGAAACTCCACAAGAGCTCAAGCAATGAACTCCGATAAAAAAAATCGAACTCTAACTCTGTTTCTGCGTCCGATGAAAGAGTACAAGAGGCACTTTATCATATAAGCAAGGAAACGATCCTTCTACTTGAGACACTAAGATTTGGGAGCATATATTTTTTATGCACTCCTCAATAGATTCTTGAGGTGGAAATTTACAACCCTTTAAAAGTGTAACAACATAACAAAGAACATTTTCCCCATTCTTCTGTTTCTCTATTTTATTTCCTCTCTCCTGTATTCCTTTTTTTTATTTCTTTGTGTGTGTGTGTGTGTTGCGGCTGAATATTAGAGTTTTTCCTAAGGGTCCATGGCTGATTGGTGGGTCTGGAGATTTTCGGCGTTTGGAGCTTAGGGTGTCTGGCGATCTGCTTCTTCTCGTTGGTGTTTGTGAAGTGAGGGGTCTGTTGGTATTAGGCGACTGGTTGGTTCTTTTGGTTAGGGGTGTTCTCTAGCTAAAGAAGAAAAAGAAGGCAGTCATGGGTGTTTTTGGTGTGTTCGTCGAGTTTTGAAGTTCAGGTGGTCTCTAGGGTTTTTCTTCCAAGTCTAGGTCTAGGTTTTTTTTTGTGTTGTAGTCTAAGGTTCAAGAAGCAGACCCTAGGGTTGGGGTGTAAGGGTTTAAAGAAGAAGGGGTAATGGGTTAGGTCTTGCTGGGCTTAAAAATTGGGCCAAAAGATTAAAAATGGACCTTTCTCATTAAAAATGTGATAAACTAACCCAAAAACTCACTCTTGCTTTTGAAAAATAATATAAAATGTATAAAATAAAAATATAAAACTAATCATAATTAATTAAAACAAATAATATTATGCTATGAAACTATTTTGGTATTTTTCAAGATTATGTAAAATAAAAATCCTAGTAAAATAGTATGACTACAAAATATTAATGAAACTATTTTTTTTTTGTAATTTTCGTTTTTGTGCCAAAAATAATGTAAAAGAGTCAAAATTAGTTGAAATAATTATATTAGACCTAAACTAAGTATTTAAATGCTAAAAAGAGTAAAATCTCGGGGAGGGTCAAAAATTACATGTCTACAGCTGACCCTCTTTGACTGGAAATATGAAGTATTTTCATACAAAGAACGACTAGACAAGTTTTTTGACCCCGACCCTTATTTAGAAAGACCAAAAACTAAGAGAAAGGAAGAGAATGTGACTGAGCCCTGGTATCTGAGCTACGTACATATCATTGGCTATAAAGGAATCAGGCCACGTGTAGGTCAGAAGTGAGTATGATGATGGAGTATACCAAGGTGGAGAGCCAATCAAGGTACCATTCCCTCGAGGTTCTGGTCTGCGGTCCTGTTATTACATCAAAATTAAAAAATTAAAAAGTCTAACTAAGTCTGTCACTATGAATTATAAAATTCCTATCTATAAGTCTTCTGAAGCTTGAGCTTGAGTCTTGAATGGTTTTTCATGCAGACTTTAGATTTGAACCCTGACGCTCGTTAGCTGCAGGTGCTAGCTCGTTCTTCTTTAGCTTTTTCGGATCAAGACCGGACATGTAGCGCTCTTGACTTCAACCACGTCTTGAGCAGTTCACATTTTTTTCCGCTTCTGCATTTTGGATTCACTTTCTTTCTTTTCTTTCTTTTTTTTTTCTTTGGATTGAGACTACTTCTGTTGGTCATCTCGGACTGTTGACTCGCATTCTTGCCACGAACTTCTGCTACTTCTAACATGAATTGAATTCTGAAATGACTTTGAAAAGAGTTTGAAATGGATTCCCTCGTTCTCCAGGTGGGCACCTGATTACCAAAACTTGAATTGTATTCCCTTGTTATGCAGGTGGGCGCCTGATTACCAAAACTTGAATTGTATTCCCTCGTTATCCAGGTGGGCGCCTGATTACCAAAACTTGAATTGTATTCCCTCATTATCCAGGTGGGCGCTGATTACCAAAAACTTGAATTGTATTCCCTCGTTATCCAGGTAGGCGCCTGATTACCAAAACTTGAATTGTATTCCCTCGTTATCCAGGTGGGCGCCTGATTACTAAAAACTTGAATCGTATTCCCTCGTTATCCAGGTGGGTACCTGATTACCAAAACATGAATTGTATTCCATCGTTATCCAGGTAGGCGCCTAATTACCAACAACTTGAATTATATTCCCTCGTTATCCAGGTGGGTGCCTAATTATCAAAAACTTGAATTGTACTCCCTCGTTATCCAAGTGGGTGCCTGATTACCAAAACTTGAATTGTATTCCCTCGTTATCCAGATGGGTGCCTGATTATCAAAAACTTGAATTGTACTCTCTCGTTATCCAGGTGGACGCCTAATTATCAAAAACTTAAATTGTATTCCCTCGTTATCCAGGTGGGTGCCTGTTTGCTAAAACTTGAAACTGTATTCCCTCGTTATCCAGGTGGGCGCCTGATTACCAAAACTTGAAACTGTATTCCCTCGTTATCCAGGTGGGTGCCTGATTGCTAAAATTTAAAACTGTATTCCCTCGTTATCCAGGTGGGTGCCTGGTTGCTAAAATTTAAAACTGTATTCCCTCGTTATCCAGGTGGACGCCTGATTGCTAAAACTTGAAATTGTATTCCTTCGTTATCCAGGTGGGAGCTTGATTGTGAATACTTGAAACTGTATTCCCTCGTTATCTAGGTGGGCGCCTGATTGCGAAAACTTGAAACTGTATTCCCTCGTTATCCAGGTGGGCGCCTGATTGCAAAAACTTGAAACTGTATTCCCTCGTTATCCAGGTGGGCGCCTGATTGCAAAAACTTGAAACTGTATTCCCTCGTTCTCCAGGTGAGCGCCTGATTGCCAAAACTTGAATTATATTCCCACCTGTGGTACATGATATTGCAACAAAACAGACAAAATAAAAGAAATTTTCTGCCCCAGTTTGGAATCTGGGCACATCTGTGAGTGTTAATCGAATCATGTTACCTAAAAGAGCTCTAAGAATTTAAAATCTAAATCTCATTATTCAGGAGGGCCTTGAAAACTT